CTTGTTCGTGTCTTTTTTTTTTTTTCTTCCCTTACCGGCTTTTTTATTTTTGGCTCCGCCCCTTCCCCCCGCCCCCCCCCCCGCGCGTCCCGATATTTCGCCTCTCTGATCTGGTCACCCTAGTTACAGATAGTCATGATGTACGTAATACAGAACAGCACAAAGATTATTAGTAACGAGCTCAATGCAGCAAAGGAATAAGAATGTACTTATAGAAATATGCAACCACTGCAAAAACATAGTATTCATTAAGCTCAGCAATAAGGGTTATATTGGCTGGCAAGTTATCAGTTAACACAAATTCCTTCCCCCATTGTTAGAATTTAAGAACTCACATATTCAACTTTAAAACATTTGCATGCCAGCTTAAAAACTGTGTATAATTTCTGCAGGAAAAGATTAAATTGCTGGATTCTGATGTACTAAAATAGCAACATTATTTTATAATTGCTTTCATAATAATTTTAGGCAATGATTCTTTGCTAATAAGCTATTAGACCATCAGCATCTTAGTCTTCTCTATTTTCCTCCACTCGCTCTTTCCCTCAATAGCTGCCCTCTCTTCAGTAGATCATATGATTCACACATATAACTCTACCTTCCTCTTCCTACCAGCCTGCAATCATGACTGATGCTTTGCATCCACTTCCTGTGTGAACTCTAACCCCCTATGAAATCTATGTTCATACTCTTCATGTAAATTGTCTTCCCTGCCAATACTTCTAATTCTTCTACTTCATGGAGCCCTTTTCCCTAACATCCCACAAGCCCCACTCCAACCAAGGTTTTACTGATTTTGCAAGTTAAAAACAAGTAACACTACCTAGAGTAAATTGCTTCCTTTTACTCCTCCACCCTCTCCCCCTTCAGCCGAGGACCCGTGAAGTGCCTAAAGCAGTCTCATGTTCTCTTCCACTAGTCCTTAACCACTCAGCCTGACCTTCCTCATGTTTATCCCACCTCTCCCCCAAAAATCAAAAAATTTCTTCTGATCCCATTTCTTTCCTTCTGTGCTTTCAACCTCCTTGAGTACACATTTTATTCTTATTACTTCAATTTCCTCTCTACCAGTATCTACCGTGGTGCATTCTAACATTTCTTCTACCCTTTTAATCCCACTGAAATGGCTCTCAATCACCAACAACTTTTTCCTGACCAAATCACGAAGTTTCTTTTCTCCATTATTCTCCTCCTTGATCACTCTATCCTCATGGAGGCACAGTCTTCTTCATATATTTCCCCTCAAGAACACTCCTTCAGCATATCATCTGTTAGCTCCTGTGAAGGTTCCTTCCCCCTCTGAACTTTAGGGTACAGATGTGGGGGACCTGCATGAGAAGCTCTAAGCTCAATTAACAGCTTAGATCTGGTCTGGCTGCCACCACTCCCAAGTACTAATTCCCTTCCCTGGGTAGCCTTGAGAGACTCTTCACCAATTCCCTGGTGAACACAGATCCAACCCCTTGGATCTTAAAACAAGGAGAAATCAATCAGGTATTAAGAAAAAAGCCTTTTAATTAAAGAAAAGAAAGGTAAAAGAAAACCCTCTAGGAGAGATTAGCGCACCAGCTACTCTCACAGACAACAGATTCCAAACACAGAGGATGCTCCCCTGGGTAAACCCTTAGTGTCACACACACACACACACACACACACACACAACTAA